TGAAAGGTGAGTGAAGTAACCCTTTGAGACAGGGGTGGACACACACAACACAAAACGGCGATGTCGGCGCAGGTGAAGCGCGGTAGATGGACTTTTTCAAAAACCGTCTGCAGGCTGCAGGGTCATGTCCCTTTTGGACACAAAGGCGTATCAGCTCTTCAGCCGCTGCTGTTGCGTGTTGTTGTGGACACAGGCAGCGGCTCGGCACAACATGTATTCGGGGCTCGAACGTGCATGTGAATTAAGGCGTGAATTGTCGAGCATGAATTCCGCAGGAACAAACGATCAGAAAAATCGGAAACTCCCTTGGTTCCTCAACAGCAACAAAACAGGTTTCGGAGGCCATTAAAAACTCCAGAGCAAAAACAGGGAGGTCATCAATCCAGACTCGATCAGCATACCTACTGCATGAGTAAACTTGTCGTGAAAGGAAGTGGCACTCAGCAGGTGTCTCATTGATCTCAGTTTGGTGCATCAAACTGGCGGCTCGCCCAGATCATGAGAGTGTGAAAGTGCAGTGATAACGAGGGCAACTGTACATGCTTGAAACTCCAAGATCAGCTGCATAACGAATCCGGCAACATGCATGGAATCTGTCATGAAGAACATGTCATGAAAAGCATCAAAAGTACAATCTGGTAGTTGCAGTCTGTGATATTCCGTCGTATTAGCCCGGCGGCTCAAAGTGCAGTGAATTCAGGGTGGAAGAAGGACAGTGAGGAAAGTCAATGAAGGAAACGACGAGCCAGTGAAATGAATTCCGGAATGAGTACGGCGCCTCCTTGCGGAGGATCACACCCAGCACCCACGTGGGACGGCTGAGCGGCTCACACTTCGACATTGGTTTTCAGTTAGCTCAGTTCCCACGATGAGAAGGAACGGTAAGGTGAACGGGTCCGATAACTTGAAATGTTAAACATTGTTGCACTCGCTCTGCTGGCTGCACGGTACAAGCGGCTGAAAGCTCAAGTGGGAAACCTGTTTGTGGGGAAAGGTATCGTGTGAAACCACCATGAATCAAAACGAGGCAAATTAGACAGCGTGGTCAACAGTTGCTCAGCAGGTACAAGTGGTTGATCAGACCACTCATCCACCGAAATGCCATAGCTTCGCTGGACTGGATAGGCAAATCGGCTCCAGTCCCCCTGCTTGAACTTGGAATAAAAGGTGAGTGAAGTAACCCTTTGAGACAGGGGTGGACACACACACACACATTTATTGATTGCATACAAGCTCACAGGTAAAACTATATAAAACAAAACTTACAGTAATCAGAACCGACCAAACGGCCCAAGAGATTTCGCCCTGTCTGATTTTGGCAATCAAGAATCTGGTGGTAATGTCGTTGGGGTTGTCATCCACCATTGCCCAAGGAGCCAAGTGGCCTGCGGATACCTCGAACATGCCTTGCAACGCCCTGACTACCATTGGAGTTGAAGACAATCAAGAGAAACTGCGCTCTCGCGACTCCCCAGTGGCAGCTGACCATTGGAAATGACTCAACCATGCAATGAAGCTGACAGCTGACACCATCTGGCACCATCAACCTCAAAGATGGAAAGAGATCTATTGTCCCACCTTTAAGTAATTGAGATGGAGATGGCACACTCTTTTGCTCCAGCCTTAACACCCTCCGAAACCGATTAACACCGACTCTCAATATCTCTGAGAGGTGGATCCAAATCCATCGTGCGGCATCTTTGGCTCGCCGATCTGTCGAAGCTACCTTGGAAGGCTGGATTGGTGGCGGTGGCCCGGCGGTGGCGGAGTAAAAAGACATTTAACCCACAGAGATCCACAAGGTGATGTCCGAAAGGTGACTCAGCCCAAAGAAACCCCACCGATTCACATTGTAAAGGATCTGGGTATATACAATAAGGAAAATTAATGGAAAACTATGGAAAACCTGGCTCATGGGGAGTGGACTGAAATCAAATCAGATATATATTGGTTCTCACAAAGAATTGAGCATCTTTTTAGTCAAGGCCAGTGACTTCGCTTTAGATTTTAGACAAAGGCTGCACCCCCCCCTGCCCCTCGAACACGTGCTCTCGTCTGCCACCAGGCAAGTATCTTTGGCTTCATTCGGATCCCTTCTGGACACGTATCTCGCCGTTCACCCAGATCGGCAGGCATACACGTTCCTCACGCAGCTGAGGCCCTCTAAGGGACATGGCTCAAGGACGCTGGAAGCACTGAAAAACAAAACGAGATGGCCCTTAAGTGGCCCTTAAGGCATGAACTGCCAAAAAGAGCCACCTACCAAGGAAGGATTCTAAATTAACATGGACCAAGCTTTGGTCGCCGCACATCAGTCAGCAGCAAAACAGAAACGATAGATCTTGTTCTTCTTTGGAGCACAACAGCACAACGTGTTACAGGAAGTTTATAAAAATCCCTTCTACCTGGTACACAAGGAATGACCACTACTAAAAGTAATCCAATTGGGCTTTGACATGTTTCGACTCCAAATAACTGCTAATATTACCGGAAGATGTTGCTTTCACATAATCATATTCCCGTTGTTTACCAAGAAAACAACACACGACATCACACAGCTCCCTCCTCCCTTCGTCCCCGAAACTTGGACGTCCGGAGCTTCAAGCCGGGCATCCCCATCCAGCGCCATCCACGAATCCGGAGCAGATCGGCCGAGACTCAGAGCCTCCAGGGGACTCCAGGCGTCTGGAGAGTCTGTAGAGGCTGGAGAGTGACAAGGGTGTGTCCAGCAGGGAGATGGTCACTGGATCTGCGGGCGCTTGATGGTGATGTGAAGAGGCACAAAGCAATTGCGGCCAGGGTGGCCCTGTTCCGGGCAGTTTGTTGGTGCCACCTGGCTACCCTGCGATGCAAAACGCACTCGGCTGGGAGAAACACAAGTTGCATACCCAAGCATGTCAGTTTCAGCTTGGTGCAAGCCAGGGGTCAAGTTCAATCACGAAGTCACAGGAATTGCATTGCTTTGGGCAACCAAACATTTGTGGTTGTTGAGACTCGTCGTCCACAATGAGTGGGATTTATGATTCAATGAAAACTAAGTCATCATAGTCGGGGGAGAAATCATTGCCCAGTTTCATTGCCCAAGCGCTGCTCAATTTTCACTGGCCAGCTACGCAGCTGCCGAGCAACAAATGGTCCAAGGCAACTCGATATAGACGGTCTTGGTCTGATTGCAGCACGCAAGGTCACCCTTCTTCTGCCCGAAATGCCCTGAACATTTGTATGCATCTTTGATGTATGTCCTCAGATTCGGGCTGCAGCTGTACCTCATGTTGATGTTCTGTAGAGGTTGGAAACATCCCCAACTGCACCCCCAAAATCGCATAGGATCCCTTAAAGGGGATCTCCTAATTTCCAATCCCAACACAGCCTTGTGTCGCAGGAGGGTGGAGGGGATTGTGGACCCCGTCAAACCTGCATGAGATCTGTTGGTTGTATGAAACTATCTATTGAAAAACAAAAACTTCTTTTGAGTTACTAATAGCAATGGCCTCCAACCTACAAACGATGGCCTCCAAACTAATAGCGAAACAAGTTTGCTCAGCGTTGCCGCAACTTTGCGACATTGACATGGGCCCTGGCATTCGACTACCAAGCAGCTCGAACATTGGTTTCCAGGCGCGTTCTAGGTAATGGCCCGCTTCTGCCACACCTGCATGTGCACAAAGGCATTCTGGGCTCGTTTGAGCACATTCGGCCTTAACCCGAGAAATTGTAAGATTTGGACCTCCAAGCCGGGTTCATCTGCATCCAAGTGTTTGGGATGGTGGAAGGTGACAGTGCGACCGGTTCAAGCTCTGGCCTATCCAAAAAACTAACCTGCATACAGGTTTAGATGATGTTCCTGGCTCTGCTCAGTGGCTTCTCCATCCCAATCTATCTCCGCGTCTTTCCCTGCATGTAAACACCGATCAAACAAACAACAAATTGGATAGAAAAGGAACTACATTCCAAGCAATTTCCTTCCTCGTAGACAAACCCTCCCTTTAGAGCTCCGTGAGCCCGAACAGCCTTCGTGCTCCTTGGCCGTGCAGCGGAGGATCTCTCGCAGCAAGCGTTCGTACATGGACCTGTTTGCAGAAACCAGGGCTCAGTGGCTTGGCAATGGCTTGGGGTATGCTAGTCTTGGCCAGGGTACGAGCATAAACAATTTAACAAAACCTCTGCAGTTTCACACTCACACACCCACACACTTATATAGATATATAAAATGTTTGCAAAAAGCTGAATCAGTTGTGATCTTCCACTCTAGTGACTACAAAACCGATGTAAAGCCCTAAAACCTGAACCTGTCAATGGCCGTGTGCAAACAGCAGGGTGAAAGAGTCAGCCTAAACAGTATGGTTTACACCTAAAATGCTCACATGAAGTCACAGGTACGTTCAGAGAGCGTCCTCTCCGAATATCACATCCGATCAACAGTGTCTTTGTTAGGCAGTGACTGTTGAAAGGATCACTGC